TTCTTACCCTAAGTAGTCTCGGCTGTAACCAATAAACAACAAGGTGGTATTGTAAAATACAAATCGGTCTAGTGCATGCAAACTATGCTCTTAATTTATACTTCGGTAATGACCTATCACTCTAAAGCTCTGGGAACTTGAACTAAATTTCCTTTCTAAAACTGATTTCAATGTGTTCCTACGAGAGTGTAAGGTAATGCAGATGAGGAGGCCCTGGGTGTGGTCATGTCATCTTCCTTACCTTGTGGTCCATCGTATGGCAGTACCACAGAGTCCCTCATGGTCTCTGGACAGGTGTGATAATCAGCGGCAGGGTTGTTGCTGCGGATAAACTGATCCTCTGGTGCAGACCCTACAGAAGAGGAAAACACATCTTTCTCTTTTTGAACCGACGCCAGCCACTTTACAAATAAATTATGCCCTCATACAGCACCATAATCAACAAAAAAGACGTGAACAACATTACGAACATTTCTCGGACAGAGTTGTTGTCTTACCATCATTGGATTTTCCCATATGGTTTGGACACCTCTTCACCACATCATGAAGGTTCCTGGACCCTTTGAAAACAGCAACGGCTCTGAGGACAGTGGCATGAGGTGGGGACATGTTCGTCTTGAATTTGATGGGGCAGAAACTGGCCAGATTAACGTACAGCTTTTTGCACACATCAGAATAGGTCCATGTGGCAGATTTTAAAGCTGACTTAGTCAAAGGTCCAAAGGAAATCTGGAACCCGATATCACCAGGGTATTCTATTTTAGTGAGAATAGTAGGCAGTCGGGAAACGACTCCAAACATGTTTGGAGGGGACATGGACGGGCCTGGGGTTGAAGCTTCACTGTAGCTGCTCACCTGTTGAGAGAATTGCAGCCTTTTCTTAAGCAACAACCTTGCTGTTCTAGAAAAGAGTCATACCTCCCTTGTAAAGATGTCACAAAATCTTTTAGACATCAGAACAGAGGGAAAACTGGCAGGGAGGGAATTACCGAACCAACTTTTATGTTGAAACAAACCTAACTGTATATATACAGTGTAACTGGAAAAATAAAGCATTGCCACAGTTAGTTAGTGCGCGTGCAAGAGGCCCTAATTGGTGACCTTTAAGTTTCGACTTTCCGTATAGCTGTAAGGAGCTTTAAATATACAAAGAATGGAGCACTGTTCGGAAGAGAGGAGTAAAATTTGCGCCCCACCAGGTTTGTTAGCCAGATAACTGGTTTGAGGTACCGACGTGAAATAAAGACTTTTTTCTTTTACTTGTTTTAGACCAATGAACCCTCTGAGAGAGGAATAAGAATTCTCTGTGGAAAAAAATATCAAAATTTACTTGCATTTTCAGAATGATGGGGGAAATGGAGCATTTCTATTCCCAAAGCCAATGCTCAGGGAGTATAATGTATGACTGATGTTATATTGGTAGACAGGGCCGTAGTGGAGTTGAGCGATGGCTGCGAACTGCTCAGGATGTTTGCAACTCTCACGGTGAGGTTGTTACATCCTGACGAAGAAAAACGAAAATAGACTTTCAAACGATTATTTGCATAAACAGTTCTATGTGGTAACGTAGTCTTAACTTGTTCTTTCCATTTGGAGTCAGAAAATGGAGGCTTTAAAGTTACGCATATTAACCTAATACTAGATCAAGATATCATGGTCTCAAATCACATACGAAGGTGCATAAACTACGCCCGACATCATGAAACCAGAGTCAAAGCAAACAAAAATTGTAATAATTACTCAAGATTATTGAGATGCAGCTCCTGAAAGCCATCAAGTGAGGCCAGAATCGCTTAAGGCTTTTAATCTACTGTGCTGATAATTCCTTCAACTTTCGACGAAAAACGCATTCAAGTTGAAGTACTAACCTCACTTTTAATTCTTAATAAAGCAGTAAAAAAGTGCGGGATTTAAATTGATTTTAGATAAAACCGAAACAAAAAGGTTACCTTCTACAGCTCGCGGACTTAAAGGGGCCGTCTCACGGCAGTCCAGTTAATTTTGTTTAATTTTGCTAATTACTCGCCCTCAATCGCTATGGAATTTATAGTAAAACTGTGAAAGGTTTGAACCCTGGGACTCTGCGACATGTATAACGTATTCTTCAGACTACTATCAACGTCTTACTTTAGAAAGCTGGTTTACTAACTTAGAACAAACGCCACTGAATCGTAGTCAACAGTTACCAGCGCCGTACAAACGACTTATTGACGAGATCAAGCAAAACTAACTACGAGAGAACAACTGGAGAACTAACAATTTGACTAACAATAGACGACTGTTTAACTGCGACAATAGACGGATCGAAACGCACCAATCACTGATTACGAGTCTTCATAGCCAATAACATCACGGCTTAACTGACAGACGACCAATAACATCACGACATAATTGACCAATCAGATCAATAACCAGAGGATAATACCATCAACTGACGTGATACAATTCACTTTGACTCTGAAGATGACTACCGCACAGGTTGTCGAAACGTCAGTCACTGTCAACAACAACAGTCCTATTCAGGACTACGTTCACCCGGACGATCAAACTCAACCTTTTGAATTTATAGTAAGTAAAGAAATTACATGTAAATGACAAAATCAGAGATCCGAGACAAACAAATATGTCTCCTGAGCATTATTTTTGAAGTTGCAAGCAGCAGGGATCAACTTTGAAAAACTGTTAGGCTGAACAGTTTTCAAAAATCCTAATTTCAATCCGTTTCAATCTTCTTCAGTTTTGCCCATCCGTGACATCTGTTGTATCTATTATGTTATTTTAACCTTCCTTTGAAGTTTTAAGCGGCTATTTTTATGTTTCTTTTCATTTAACGGGCATTTTGTAATTTCCTAATTTGACTGAATTTCGTGACACACCTCCTTTAAGATCCTCCCGTTTCCATCTAGATCAACTTCTCCCATACAAGTTTTGAAAACAGGAGGGACATTCATATAAACAAAGGCCATAAAAATGATTCCAGTGGGAACTCTTGGGAATGCACACTGCTCGACTTTCGAAGGTGAAATTCAGAATCATTTTTCCTGGAGATTGGGAAAATGCGCCCCGGCTTAAATTCGCCGCGTAATTGGCCCCTTTTACTATTAATTTCTCCAAAAAGATATTTCATAAATTAGATCACAATAAACAACGGGGATGGCATGAATATAGAGCGTTTTCACATGACGTCAGGGCGGCCATATTGGTGTTCCAAAACAAAGAAACGGCTGCCATGGTGGTGTTCCAAACCAGTCCTGTTGGAGTTGAACTCTTTTCTTATGTAAATGTTCTCATTTGTTCCAATAAATTTGCATAGATACAGGCCACGAGAGCGAAAATCCTCTATTGGCGTTTTAACAAATTGACCCCAGTTTTTTATGTGTCTGTCCTTTTATTGATGATAAAATGACGTCATAACATTGCCAAAGTGTTGTGGATCTACAAACCTCGGGCGAGTGGATCCACAACAAACTCTAGTCAGTATTTACATTGTAATGATTATTTAGCAAATATAAGTCGAGTGCTGGCGGATCCGTCCATGAGTTATTACATTTTTTTCATTTCATTCTTAAAATAGACAAAATTCTGTTTGGCTGGGCACTCACCTGTCCTTGCCGTGATTCTGATGTTGCTGACTTTTCACTCATATGAGGACTAGATATCCTTAAAGGACCTTCGTTTTCCATCTCTGGAGGAAGTTGATTTGCCTGAAATTTTTTAGAGGTGTAGTACCCGTCATTTCCTACAGTTTTATAATTTTAACTTTCAGACTTTGATCACGACTTTTACAGTAGAGCCCCAATAAACGAGGGACCAAGGGGATGGCAAAGTATGTTAGCAATAACAAGGTTTCGTTATACCAAGCTTCTTTTCCATATATTTTACAATAAGTGGGCTAAAGACAATTTTTCTCTATACCGATAACTTCGTTATGTGGAAGTTTGTTATATCGAGGTACCATTGTGGGGCGAAATTAAGTCACTGTGATGATGCCAAATTTTGTTTGAATTTATAGGATATGATATCTAATGGAGGTAAGTGAAAAACCTTTATCTAGAAACGGACGCCGTCTCTTGTCTTCGGGTAAACGGCGGATGAAAGCATCTGATCTCGCACAGGACGTGAATGTTTTCACGACCAGTTGGCCTTTTTTGAAGTTTTTCTTTCAGACTTATTGTTAAATTTTTAAGTCAGAAGACGACTTTAAAACATAACAAACAGGGCCACTATCACTTCCGGTCTGTTAAAACGATTCTACTAACAGTGGTAAAAAAGGCAAGAGCTTAGGGTTTCTGGTTTAGAGACGTAACAGTGATTGTTTAGGAGAAAAGTAAATGATTAAAAAACTCAACGCATAACGAAAAATTCGAAAACGGCAAAATAAGATTTTTAAAACGGGTAAGTGTGGAACGGGCCTAAATGAGATGTAGGAAACACGAGAAGAGTTTCATCCAGATAATAAATAAACAGCGATTCGTAACGGAAGAAGTTTATAACCCACTATTTGAGATGTTTGAAAACATCATAGTAAGATACGTTTTGCAGGGTAAATTTTAGACCCTGTTTACATCGAGTGGGGTACCACGCTTTAGTGGGGTAGGTTTCTTTTGTTTTGTGTCCCCCAGAGCGTGAAAACAAGAGAAACCAACCCCACTAGACCGGGTTCCCCCACTCCATGTAAACAGGCCCTTAGAGTTAATACGCAAATTAAATTTTGTTAAGCACTTAACAATAAAAATAAGCAAAAAACGTTTAACACGAGGTTTCCATATCGTCATGACATCATTAATATACAGATTTAGCCAGGGCTAAAAGCGAAGCTCTCGATAATATTTATAGTTTGTTCAAACAAAATATAAAATCGTGTAATGCTAAGCGGGGAAGGCATGCAACGCCGGAAAACCGGTGAAAAACAGCAATAGGTCTAATTAGCAAACACAACTTTGCACGTGCAGCACACTTTTTTTGTACATTTCTTTGCCGTTGTTTTGCACGACTTCAACGTGAAACTTCCAGAAACCTCTTAGTTACACGTTTTATGGAGGAAATGTCGTACGTGTTCCTGTTCACTTTTTTTCACTGCCGCTCATTTTCACCTTGCATTGGTGGCCGCTAGCATTTCTCATTTTGTCACCGCCGCGACACAAAATTTTCATGTTGTTCTTCCAACAAAAAAAAGTCTCCTTTGGTTTTTCATCTCTCGCTCTAAATCCCTGTCGCCCTTTTTCTCGTTTTGGCGATTTCCCGCCAAAATAACCTCGAGTTGCATTTGGGTTGCCATACGTGTTGATTGAGTTATTTTACATTGGTATGCCTGTGGTGCTGGCGGACGGTCTCTTGGGCGGGCGGGCGGTGTACGGTCACGAGATTACCAAATTTTCTGGGATGGGTAGATTACTTCCTTTTCTTACCCATAGTGCTCCGCTGGCGCGCTTCGCGCGCGAGAGCTCCGCTATCAAGTAACAAATACAAAATTACCACATTACCTCTAAGAACTGATAAAGGAGGTTTAATTCTGGTTCTGTAACCATCAGAGGAATATCATCTAGCTCCAAATTCTCAGGACAAGTACCTGAATCCCAGTACGTCAGAAGGATAAACTGTGATTAGAACTACCAGGGTAATTGTGACTAGTAACTTTACCTAACTATGAAATATGGACAGTGTTGATTTCTAGTAATAAAATTCAGAAGAGAATGCGCCATTTTCCTGTTTCCTTTCTCAGTTCACCATGGAAATCGAGAGCATTTGGTTATAAGGGACGGACCGTTAGACGGCGGTGGGGAATTTTCAGTTTGCGTAAATTCATTCTTCGGCCTCTATTGGTGCATGAGTTTTTTTTTTCCGGGTGAAAATGAAATGAAGTGCCATTTTAATGAAATTATAAAAATATATTTCAAAGTAATGTTGGGTAAAATATTGCTCTTTTCTTTTTCGATATCCAATTTATAACTGTTAAAAAGTCCACTATTTTTTAAACCAAATTACTGATGCCATTTCTTGGTTCGACTGTCTGCATTACTACGATATATCCTAAGTGAGACGCAGTGAAGTGAAAATGACGCCATTTTATCACGAATTGACAAGAGCAGAAGAATATCTCAGTTTAACTTCAAACAAAACCTTTAAAATAATGCTTGCTTCGCGTGTTCTTCACATGTCGACTGAATAAATCCAAAATACATCGAAATACCTGAAATACTGCTAGGGGATGTACACATTGGGCTTACGACCTACAACAGTATTAAAAAAATTCAATGATGTCAAAAAAAAACACAAAGAGAGAGAGAGAGAGAGAAAAGAAAGACAGAAAAATACATTTCCAGGTTATATAAACTTCATTAATATCAAAAGGCGGCAGACTTAGCTTGTTTTAGTTTCAGGATGAAAGTGTTGACCACGTTATGCAGTTTAATAGCCTGTTCACAGACCCTCTATTTTCTCCTTAAGGGACCGTCGAGCGCACGTAGCACAAATGGGGTAGGGGTGGGGAAAGAAGTCAACAGAGGGTACGAAGTTGCCATGGGATGGACTTAATAAACCTCTTTTCACCCAAAGATGTCCACAGTACAGACGTTCTTTCTTTTTCTTCCTCGAACTCCGCGCTCGCTCTTGTATTCGCGATTGATGTCGAAAAGAAGAAGAAAACGACGTCTGTGTACAGGCTAGCAGTTTAACTACGGTGTATGCCGTAACAAAGCCATTACTCTTATTTATATGAACGTTTTTTAGCACTGGTATCGAGCTCATGTTAATAGTTTTTGATGCAATACAAAGTGACACCACGCTTTTGTTTTGGAGGATAAGTTGCTGAAACCGGCGAGACTGTTTTAAAATAAAAGCTGACTTGGCACGGCTGCTTAGTATGCCATAGTTGCATATATACTGTATACAGAGTGGGTTGAAGAGCTAATAACGAGGCGTGCCGGTTCGATTGAAAGCTTCTGAGGAATCAGGTTCTCCCCTGGTACATTGCTGTTTATTTTCTGTAGAGCGAAGTGTGAATTAAATCGCCTACTACAAATGTTACTGCAAGAAGCTAGTAGCTAATTCTAGTTTCTTCTTTTCTTTATCTGTTAAAGAAACGTAACGTGAGCTGTCATTGAAAACTCTCGCTAAATCTGATTATCAGTCCTGCTATTTTTGCATTGACCATTTTAAAAAATTAATAGGCACAATACAAAAACAGCAACAACAACAATATACTCAACAGGACAGACATATTGAACCTAGTTATGCAAAGATTGCCGAGTTTCAGCTATTTGAAATAATCACAATACAGTAGTAGGATTGATAAATAATACCTTATCTGAAACTTTACCTGAGGATTACGCGGTATTGACGTGGAAAAAGAATTCTGGGTTGAATGAGTTTTTACACTCTTTATACGTGCACTTGAGCCTAAGGAACAGAAATTACGAGCGTAAATACACAAAATAGGTAAGTCATGAAGTTTCTTTCATTGCTATGATGGTACGACGTGTAGGTGCAGCTCTTATTTCAGGCAGCGCTTATCTAAATCTTCCTCCTCCAAGACAACATAATCTATTTCTTTGTTCTCTGTTTAGCAGAAGTATTAAGTAATTCTTTATTTCACGGGAAACTCCACTTAACCAAAAGCCATTTATAGGAGGCCCACAACTAAAAATAACTGTTTTAAAACACGTAAAGTAATAACAATAAACAAAGGAAAAAATAAAAAATATGTTAAAAAACAAACCATGTGATGAAACGGAAATAGATATCAAAAACAGCTGTGTACATAACAAACTGCCCAGAAATGGAACCCATGACCTTCCAGTTTCCAGTTGAAGGCTCTAACCATCAAGAGCTATGAGAGACTCGATCACACAGTGAGCGGTTCGTCTGATTTGTTTCAATAGGGATGATTTTGCCTAGTGTACCAGCATATATTTTTTTTATTTTAATTAATTTCTTAGTCGATTCCATATGATTGTATGTATATCCACGTACAAGTGTAGGGACTGTAAAGGGCTCAGAAACCCCGCAGGGACAGCAATACCAACAATGCCTGGAAACAAAACCCACCACCATGAGAGAAGTTCTTAATGCACCAGTCACTAGCAACGAAGGTGCTAATAATAGCCCCACTCAGCAATCCACACCATGGTCTGATCAACACAAGGAGTAGGTATAATGGAGGTCAAAAGAACATCTGTGACAAGTCCTCTTCAAGGAATTGTTACATAGGACTCTGCTCCTAATGTATATTATAGGATTTGGGTTCATCCCTTCATTCCCCACTCCCCTCCCAGCAATGTTACAGCTGTACATCCAAGCAAGACTCATTTCCACCCCCCTTGTGTTGTGTTATTTTTTATTCTTTATTTATTTCTGTTCAAAATTCAACATTGTTTGGAGTGGGAGGGGGAAGGTTGCTATTTGTGCTAATATCAATGGAAAGGTCCCAATACTTTTGATCCCCATTCATGTAGATGATAGATCAGGATCAATATTAAAATTCATTATCATGAGACAGACGATAAAAGAGGAGGGATGTCAGTCACTAAGAGGCTTCTACTTATTTCATCAGCTGAAAGACAGCTTACCACCAGCTTAAATTACTCTAGAAAATAAAGACAAGGGGTAATTTCGAGGGTGCAGTTGAGTAAAAAGCAAGCTTGTCGACTAATACAAAAGCCAGCTTGGCTTTTCCTTAGCTATACATCCCTTAAAGAGTTGGTCATACAGCATGGCCACAACTTGCTTTTATTATTAACAAAAACGCTATCAAAATGTGTACAATGTAGTATCAATCTGTGTACCTTTTTGATGCTTGTCAGGTGGCTGTGTAAAAAATACAAAAACATTAACGTTACAAGGAAGTACTTGTATGATCGTTGTTAAGGTAGCTGTTGCATTGCAAGTGACAGCAAACTGTACAGTTAGCATCCATTCTGTTCATTTGTAACAGGTGGGTGGGGTTGATGGGATTTAAGGGGGACGAGCCATTCCAAAAGGAATAAGCCATAATTATCATGGCTTCATTCAAAGAGGGGCAGACAAAAAATGTAATATGTAAAGGGCAGTGATTTACTTTAATTTACATGACTGCAGTCAAAAACAAACATTTTACAAAAAAAGCTTTTTTATATATATTTTTTTCTACTTTTATTGAACTTGTTTTGACGCAGACAAAAAATGTAATATGTAAAGGGCAGTGATTTACTTTAATTTACATGACTGCAGTCAAAAACATACATTTTACAAAAAAAGCTTTTTTATATATATTTTTTTCTACTTTTATTGAACTTGTTTTGAACTACATAGTTGAGCTGTTTTCTCATCAGTGTCTGTCTACAAAGAGGACTCTACACTTTGTGGCCTTTGTATCCTCCGCCAGATGCAAAATAGTAGCTAGCTTCCGAAGTACGGGCATGTGTAGAAGGCAAAATTTCAAAAACATTTTGAAAATGATACAGCAGTCTATCGAGTTTTTTAATATCTTTCTCTCCTCTCCTCTTCTTTTGCTTTTCTTACCTCATTTTTCTCTTTTCCTGGGTATCGAGTGAGGTTCATTTCAGTTGGAAAAGTTTTAGGGAAAGCTTTTAGGATCTTAGTATTAGATGAAAAAAATGGTAGGTAGGTTAAGTGGAGCCAGATTTTTATGCGAATTTCTGGGTCAACTGTACAAAGTCATGTTTTTTTATTTTCTTTTTCTCCACTCTGCCCTCCTTGACTGAATCATGCACATTCTAGTATGGTTTGAAAGACCTCTTCACCCTACACAAGTTAGCTGACTTAAAGTTTTCTTTGAATGGTGAAACTGATGATGTCACAAGCGGTTCAAGGGCTGATCAGTGAAACTAGTTTAAATTTTTTTGGGGGAAAGAAATAACACTGGAACCCCCGACCATTACTTTACAGTTAGGTGTTCAACATTCTGAAACCTACTACAATGTTAAAATTGACCTCAACGCTTTAAGTATGATTTAAGTTCAGCTTAATAACTTTGAATGTTTCATGATGATTTTCTTTTCTTTTGTGGGGGAGGGGGGAGGGGGGGGGGCAGAGGTCATCTCAAAAGTTTAAGGCTTCAACCTGGGAAGGGGGCAGGTGAAAAACGTTCTAATGAAGAGGGGGGGGGGTCATAATTAATTTTATTACTAACAATGCTAAGCCATCAAACCCCACCAGTCCCCATACCCCATAAAAAAAATAAAGTGTGCCTAGAACAGTAATACCAAACTAAACAGTCAAAATGATTGAAATATATACAGTGCACACTTGCAGATTATGACATAATTGTTACCATTCAAATGAAACCTCCTTGGCAGAACTTTTAGATGGTTCTATTTATTTCTGTGGATTCTAAGGGGTTTCAATAAGAACCGACGACCACAAAAAGTGTCGGCTACTTTACCCAAAGAAGACAGCTATTTTTTTCCCGAAAGAAGAAGCAACCAGTTTTTATAATACATAAACAAAAAATATATCACAAAATCTGAATGTAAACTTATATTTTGTGTTTTCATAAAAGTGTTTGCCCACAGGTTTACTGTTATGCTTTATTAACATGTTAATGCTGTATTCCAGTCAATTTTTTACACATTTCCTTATACCTGTAGGTTAATCTATACAAAATTTGATGACATGCAAATGAACATAATTAAATCATTGTCATCATATAAATTTTATACTGTATGCACTGCTATGCTTTAGTTACATGTTCCAATCAATTTTTTACACATTTCCTTATACCTGTAGGTTAATCTATACAAGATTATTCTGTTGACATGCAAATGAACATAATTAATTTTATAAATCATTGTCATCATATAATTATACTGTATACACTGCTACTGATGCACCCCAGACCCCGCTAGAAGAAGGGGACCAACAGACTCTTGTTGATACAGTCAGTTACTATATTCAAACCTGCTGGCTACTTCAACTCTAATCGAAACCCCTGGATTCTACAAGAAGAAAATAATTTTGAAATGTTGTGAATTTTTATATCAGCCATATGCATGTGCACTCAGGAGTGGATTTAGGCTAACTGTCAAGTGCTCATAATTAATAGCCAAGCTCCACATGCACGAAGCCCCATAGCTAATTAAATCTAACTATCCCAGAAAATTTGGTAATCACGTCACCATTCACCGACCGACCAACCAGCCGACCACATGATTGTCCGTCCACACCACAGGAAAACCAATGTTTACTTTCACACTTTCTAACTACTTTGGGAGCCCAGGAGAAAAATGTTGTGATCAATCATAGATAATATCCATGGATCAATTGACAGCTGTCAAAACAAGGTAACCACTGACCAGTATCACCTGACCTTATCACGGGCTCAGGTGTCGACCCATCGAGGTCGAATACTTTTTTGAAGTTATCTGCTGACAAGTTACTAGTTTTCAAATGATCACAGGCTCAAGTTTATTTTCTAAAAATTCATATGATATATGTTGTGTTTATGTCACCATCGCCCCACACTATTAAGATTTTGATTTCACACTAACCTTGGATGCAAAAATTCAGCCAGTTATTTAGAAATACAGTCAGGGAAGACCTTTTCTTACCAAGGTCACCCGTTGGTCATGCTCTACGTCCAATTTTTATGCTCTGATTGGTCAAAATTTGAAATGTGAGTACATGCTGAAAATTTATGCAGCATCTTGAAACTTGCTTACTTTGACAGCTGCAGTTGATCACACTAGACTTTTGTGTCAACTTGTGATGTTTTTAAAGTTCTATCTTTTTCCACTGAATGTACAAAATGAAATACAGCTGCTATCAAGAGTCTTCTGTTATTCATGGCTAGTTTGTTTATTGGTTTTTTGGTTGAGAGATGTGTCGCTTGTCAAAGTCAGAAATCTGATTTCGGATGGGATGGTTTTCATTTTTCATCTTGCTTGATGCAAAAGAGGGTTCAAAAGTCTCAAGTGATTCTGGCCTTACTTGATAGCTTTCAGGAGCTGCATCTTGAATGGTAAGCCTGAGTAATTATTGTATTTGATATTTGTTTTTTTACATCTATTTTCATGAAGTCGAGCACAGTTTATGCCGCAAGTTTATGCACATTTGTAAGATTTGAGACAATGATCTGACCTACAATCCTACACAAAAGTCCTTGGGACAGTATTGCAATATTCATATTTTTTTGTCATTTCTTGGTTCCCTCTTAAAGCAGTGCATCCTTTTCGCAAATTTATTGCAGTACTCTCTCCCCCACACCCTATACAAAGTTGAAACTCGAAAAAAAATCTGGATACACGTGTCCAACATTGTTTGTGGGGTGAGGGGAGGGGTTGAACCTGTGTGAATTGAACGCCCCAGAATAACAAAAGTGTCCCAAGACTTTTGTCCATGATTGTAGTATCAGGTTTGATATAAGCTTAGTAAACAGAACTTTAAAAAGCCTTCAGATATATTTTCTAGGAAGAAAACATTTCGAAGAATATTTAGTTATAAATGTGGCTCTAGAATGAAAACTTAATTGAGCAATTTTCTTGCCTCGAGTTCATCATTGAAAAAAGCAAACACAGGGAGGCCAACATAAACTTATAATAAGCTCTATAAGCTTTAAGACTCTGGAGTTTTAGAAAAAACTTTAGTACTTGTCTTTGTGAAAGAAAATATTGTTGTCTCTGTAAATGTTTCACCAAATTATATTTCTTTTATTGATTGTTAGTAGTCTCTCTTGCAATTTTGCAATTTTAATCGCTGTGCCGTTTGTTTTCAGTCGTTCATAAACATTGCTTGCAGGAGTACTCAAAATGCCATGTGTATCAAATGCCTTTTATGATTACACATCGTTATAAAACCATAGATTAAATTTAAAAAAAAAGTTAATTTTTTTAATATAATTCTTTATTATGTTGAAGTGTAACTCTATTAATGTTCACTGCAAATTTGGCGCTCGTCACAAGTGAGAACCAGCTGGCCGTATAGGTGCTTTTGGAAATTTTTTGAACAGTTTCGCTAAAACCCCACGATTGATCGTCCTGAATATTGACTTAGTGCAATTTGTCTTGAAAAATTGTAAAATACTGCATTCTGTCTGAGGTCTGTATGATAAAAAGTACTGTTTCACCTCAGATGTGATGAATAAAAAGTACAAAAGGTCAAGGTTTACACATCCCCAGATTTGTTGGTAAGATTTTGGAAAGTAAACTTGTTGAAAGCAAAAAATTCAGCCTGACTTGTTTTCCAAGAATTTGTTTTCCAGGCCTAATCTACTGTGATCAAGAGCCATTCTGGCTCATGAATGTGTTCAAAGATGATTGCTATTTTTTGGGTGCACATTATGTATAAGGCTATCAACTCGATGTAACATGTTTCACTCCAAAACCACTTAGCCTTTCCCTCAAAAGTCACATGAATGTGCTCTAACGTTAACTGATTTGTGGATTACAAGTTTATTGTTTGATTTAAATAATAAATTTATTAATGGGAGCTTTGCTTTTAGCCCTGGCTAAATCTATATATTAGAAGATTCATGACCTGTGTACTCACCTTTTTTTTGATGATATTCTTCCGTAACTCTGGAAAGTCTCTTTTGAAGTTTTCATTCATAAACTCATCCCTCTCCACATCCTGGAGTTTTTTAAATCCATCTGCTCAAAAAAAAAAGACAATAAATTTTTAAAACATGTTTTCTATGTTATTACAAGCCTGTAAATATATCCAGCTGCCTCTCTTCACTCCCTCAGTACCTCTGAGGACGTTTCATGTGAGAGAGGTCTCCAATTCAGCTCAAAGGATCGAGTAACAAACAAGATCAGTTCTAATTAACTACTACTCAAGCCATGTTTTAGGTGGGTATTGAAATGTGGCAACAGTTTCCCCATATGAATCCCTATACATATGTAGAAGTGTTGTTCATTATTTTTCTTAGGTGAATTTGAAATTCTAAAACGGTACACAGTTCTACATGTAGGAAACACATTAAAGGAACTGTGTCACGAAATTCAGCCAAATTAGGTAATTACAAAATGCCCGTTAATTTAACAGAAACGTAAAAATAACCACTTCAAACACTAAAGGAAGGTTAAAATATCACAACAGATACAACAGATGTCATGGATGGGCAAAACTGAACAAAATTGAAACGGATTGAAATTCATAGGGTTTTTGAAAACTGTTCAGCCTAACAGTTTTTCAAAGTTGATCTCCGGCCTGTTTGTAACTTCAAAAATAATGCTTAGGAGACATATTTAGTTTTCTCGAATCTTTGCTTGTGTCATTTACAAGTAATTTCTTTGCTTACGTTAAGTTCCATAGCGATTGAGGGCGAGTAACTGGCAAAATTAAACAAAATGAACTGGACTGCCGTGATACAGCCCCTTTAAATATTATAGAAACCCCACTCTAAGTCCAAAATCATATAACTCTCTTGGGAGGCTCATTAAGTCCTCCAATGGGGGAGCATACAGCTTCATTTTTCTGCGCAAGGGATGCAGCAATTGTGTCTAAAAACTGATTGTATACTTACAATTAGTTAGTTGACGATGGAAGCTTGCAAAGTCTTCAGTGTTAAAATACATGGGAAGCACGTGGCAGGCAAGTTTGTTTCGATTTTTGATTAAGATACCAGTTCCATTCTGCGAAAAATAGGGAATGTGAGTAAGCTAAGCATCATTATTTTGAATCATTCTATATCATTTTAATACAGCTTACAAAACTTTCAAAAAAGCGTGCAGGTCAGTAAGAAAAGAAGTTAATTCTGATCAAACAGTAAGCTAATATTACATTTTTCAATTATATTAAAAATACCTCATTCCACGATATGTGTTTACCGCATTTCTTTATCTCATCTTCATCGTTAACCATCGCCCATAAGATCTCTACGAATCGAGCTGAACTTCCTTTGGTCTTTTTTGCAGATGTTGACGCCATTTCTTTTAGACAGCACAAGCAAATCACTGTGCTTAACAAAATTTGGAACAACGTGTCCTTCGACCTACTTGCGCCTTCTAGAACTCGATCATGTAACTCTCGACCAATCAAGTAACCTGTCCTGTAGCTATTCATCCATGACCCTTTGACAATAGAATCGAAATTCGAATTCTAGATCCAGAAATAAGTGTCTCGCGTGTCTCGGACTATTTGCAAATCCTTGCAAGGCATAACTGCAATCACTCCTCTCTTACTTTAGCGATGCGTGGAATTTGTTTTCTTTGGCGGCGATTTTGAAGTTACCCTGCGAGCAGAGGCCCTTCGATCTTCCTAGATAAGTCGGGAAGAGCCTTCCTCTTCCCGACTTATCTAGGAATATCGGGTATATTGCAGTCAGCAAGTCAGTATTTCGAGGTCTGGAGCCTAGAAACCTTTGGATAGTCGTCTGCCCTTTGACGAAATTACGCACGTGGGTCTATCACATCCGAAAAGGAAATAAATATTTTTAAATAAGAAAGATTGCTCACTTTATCGATGAGTGAAATGTTGTTTTCATTTGGCGGCCATTTTTGAATTTGCGGTCAGCTGGTGTGAGGCCTGGAACCCACTATTGGAGATGGGTGTTCGGAAGATACGATCGCTTCCCGATTAGATATAAGCGGTTCCGAAGATTCTTGGCTTCATAACTCACACCAGTTCAAAACAAACATGAATATTATATTTTTTTAAAAAAGCCCTCCAGGGATTCCAAACTTCCCAGATCTGTGATACTCAGGCTTACGTCCATCACCTGATTAGCCTGCGTAGCAAGCGTTTCCAAGCGAGTTATTGCGCGAAAGTTAGAGCGGAAGCAAAAAAAAGGTTGAACCTCGCGAGGAAACGCTTGCTACGCAGGCTATCACCTGATCACCTGTGCCAACCAGAAGAGCATCGGTTCTGGAAAAACAAGATTCTTTTGTTTCACTTGTTATGCATTCAAACAACCGAAACGATGTTTGTGATGCATCATTACCTCGTCCCAGGCTTTTTTTTATGGGAAAAGCCCCGGGGACGAGAGGTCAGGGTCGCGTCGCAACGTTCTTGTGACGGTAAAGAGCGGAGTTGCGTATTTCACATATTTTAGAATTGAAGAATAATGATTTTGACACACCCACTTTTATTAAAAAACTAAGCAAGATGAGATGAAATTTAAAATAATTTTGTAATTTTGTAACGTTGTATTTTAATATCTTCTTGTGTCATTTGTATAGGTACATCTTCCTTTTCCTTTTTTTTTTCACTTTATATTTTCCTCTGCCCGCCTCGATTAGCCAAGCTATTTGGGAGCAGAGGATCTTTGTGACGTTTTGTGTGTATACCGTATGTATGTTTTAATTCAATTTTGAAACTTCTATGGAGGTCAATAAACTTCAAACTTAAAAATCTTTTACTTTTTTTGACGTTGTGGTCGTTGTCGTTGGATTTTAAGGTTCCTATTACTTCCATTGAAAGGTTGACATCCTCTCACTCTTTTATCCTTTCCCCCATTTAGCGGTGCAAAAAAAGGGCAAAAGTTTGTGACCACTGGTAACAACAGTCCATTACACAGGACTACAGTAAACTAGAAGATCGTGCAACTTCCTGGAGTGATAGGGACTCTAGTAGTCGCTATACTCTCAGCATAGAAAAAATTCGAATATCATCACACTTCGCGTAGCCCAATATTTTGGCAACTCGTCTAGTTTCCTTCTCTTGCATCTTGTACTGTTTTCTCTGTGAGTTATAATTTTTTAAATATTCGGTTTAGTTGCTCATTTTATACCCTTGGCATGGCCATATATAGCACAGATGTATATATATACATTTTTTATCAGGTCTTGGCGATCAATGTAGCTTCTTTTCAATGGCATCTACGAAAAAGTACCTCCTGCCAATAGTCTCTTGTGAGCGAGCAATATATGTCCCTCATCTATGATTCGATATGACGTCCTGCATATGTCAAAAGTTGAAAATCACTGTCACCCGTGAATTTTAAACATAGCTTTAGATCCACCAATGTCTTTGAGTATAATGTTATCTAAGATTTAGAACTCAATTCCTTTTATCTTTGTCGTGTTGTTATCATTAGAGAGATTTAGAGTCATGTGTACGGTAAAAGGCAAACGTGAATTTGTACCACGTGACCAAGTTTTCCCCTTAATTGTCGTTTACTGTTCCATTTCTTCTTCACAAAAATAGGTAGTTTCCCACAATTTTTCCCCATAACAATTGTTTTGGACAGTTTCCATCTTCTCCTTTTCTATTTTGAGAAATTCTGATGACGTCTAAATGTGGTAAAAACAAAGAAGTGTCTAGTGTGTCACTGCGTCATTTTGACGTCTTCTGTGATCTATTACTGAACAGACCCACGGCAACATGGAATCTATTTGTTTTATACAATGATCAGAACAGAAAAAACGACCGATACACATGCCTGCCTCTTACCGTTTGACTGTTTGAGGATTTGTGTAAGTTTAGGCAGTATTAACTATCCCAAATGCTAATTTTCGTCTCTCCTATTCTATTTTTCTTTATCTTACTTGTATACAGTTTCTTCGAAAAACAATTTCAACGTCTTTTCTTGCTCAAAGCAGAATAATGGCGAAAACATTTTGCAAAACAGCGAGTCTCGTAGCGATGACACAAGATGGCAACTGTTGTGAAGATTTCTTGTAGTTTAGGCATTCTCAAGCTGTAAAGAGCTCTTTCTGTCTCTGTGTCTAAATTTTTCTTCTTTGTAAATAGCTCCTAGTACGTTTTTTTTTAGGCTGTCACTTGCTTTAATCCTAAATAGTCTCACAAAACCGCGCGCCATGTTGAAAAAAACAATCAAAACAAGTTTTCCGTGGCGTCATCCAGGTATCTGTCCTCTGATAGATCATGGGCAACGACCAACCACAGCGCGCGTAGCAATCACATTATTGTATAATAATTAGCCTTTGTGACCTCGTTTGAAAGTAAGAATTCTTTTGTATTTTTCCATGCTTACGAAGTCAGAGAAGCTAATTATCATACATTTAAAAGAATATATTAATAAGCCGCCAGTATGAAGGAGGTCTATTAGAAAAGAGTTCAATACCCACATAATTTTTCTGGTACACTAACGTGGCCGCCGTTTCATTGTTTGTACACCACAATATGGCCACCGTAACATTACGTGTAAACGATCCATACAAATTTAAAAAAAACAGTTGGCAATCACCTACATACATTTTGATTTGACTATTATTAATTTCTTCAGTAAGGTCATCAACATAGATAGTCAATAAAACTGGACCCAGAATTGAACCCTGGGGTACCCCACGTTCTCCAGGAAGTATCCATGAGATGGAATCTTCGTAGCGGACCCTCAGAATCCTACGCAACCAAGAGTCCATAAGCAAGAGCGAGCAACTTTCACGCACTTGTGTCACGGCACTTTTACCTACCAGTTTAATTTCAGAACGGTTTTGGCGCGATTAGAATATTTTTTAAGCCCCACAAACCAGTCAGTAAATCTCAGACCTAAAATGATACTTTTGACCATTTAAAGACATCTAGTTTCCCTTTTTTGATATCTTCGGCTTCGAATGCGCTTATGAGCGGAGCAGAGATTCCATTTTCGCGCGAAAAGTGCTCTATAATGTGCTCAAAAATAAACCAGTCCGTGAAAACGCCGTGACGTTACATAGGACTAGTATGGCCATAGGACTAGTATGGCCATGCCCGCTCTGGATTATAGGCTCCTGAGGCAACTTCCTTAAAGCACAATTGTGGTCTAACCTATCAAATGTTTTAGACATAATTAGTATTGTCATATACAGTAAAACCTCTATTAAGCGGACCTCCAATTAGGCGGACACCCTCTATTAAGCGGACACTAAACCGGATTCCAAAATTAACGTCTTATATTTCCCTTTATAACGAACCCCTATTCAGCGGACACCTCTATTAAGCAGGCACGGACACTAAAATAAATTGTATTTGGCGGATTTCTATTGTAAAAACCTCTATTAAGCGGATACCGGACTGAATTGTCAATAGTATTTGATGACTTCCTTGAAATACGTACTCTGGTCGATTAATAAAGATAAATCAGTACATTTAGCTGTCAATAAACTGCATGTAGATTAGACCGATCCGGCCGAATAATTGTCATCCGCGATCATAGTTCACCTAAAAGTCTTTCGCAAAGTACAGCACAGTTTCCTAATAGTTTCCTTTTATCACAGTACTGAGCAACCGTTGACTGTTAATCGTTAACAAACATGGCGCAATTTTTATTAACCTCTATTAAGCGAACACTTGGGAAGGTCCCGAAGGTGTCCGCTTAATAGAGGTTTCACTGTCGCTGGAAATTTCTTCCCAATGGCGCGCGCTCTCTTTGGTTACTTCCAGGTCACATGACAGCTAACAATGAAACTGTTTCCTGTCAAAATCTCTGAGCGGGCAACATTGCAAAATCTATGACGTCAGAGGGTAACAGTGCACCCGCGAATGTTGACCGACAACCCACTTTAAAGCGAGGTTTAATGAATTTCCAGCTTTCAAATTTCAAGCTATAAAATAAATCACCCAAGGAGACAAAATTAACTGTTTACCTCGGGACCCGTCATTAAGTGTCTAATACTAACAGTGATACAGTTTGCCAGTGGCTTTCAAAAATTGATCAGTGACATACATAAGACCAGTTTCGTTGAGTGGCGTTTCAAATAGCCACTTTGATGTACTGACATTTTAATATTTCTTGATGAAAAGTCAGAAAACTGTCTTTGTTCAAGTCTCTCAATTATCTTTGACATGGTAGGTAACTTGGTCTATTATCAGTTGGTGCTTACAAGCTGAAGAGGTTTATTTCCGTGCGTCAGGGAAGGTACTTCTTAGAAGGAATTATTTTTAACTATAACAAGCCTTGCGATCACCGGAGAAAGGAAAGGTATTTTATTTAATTTAATTTATGGGGTCTTCCTTAAACTTTTTAACAATAATTAGGTAAGTGAGGCATTAGCAAAGTGATCAAACTAGACCGACGCTCCCTCAAAGAAAGAGCTTTACGTATACTGATGGTTATATTTTCCATGCATTTCTCATCATGAGTTCAAAGTAAGCGTCGTTATCAATGTTTGCCCCAATCGCGG